CTTCAATATTAAAATGCAATAGGTAAAACTATAAATGTAAATGTAGAAGTATTTGTACTTTGACAATAATTATTCTAATTATTTTGCAATGCCAGCATCCCCAAAAAAAAGTACGTAAACACAGTCATATTGCACAATGTGCATATTAGGTCCCAATACTCTAGTAATACCAAGAGACCCCCTAAAGGAAGACTGAGGGTAGAGTCTTAAATCCAGATTAATCCAGAAACAAAACTTTAGATGACACATCAGTCATAGGTTTAGTGGTATTTGCTATCATGCACACGAGCCAAGCAAGTTGTAAACCCCCTCTGCATTTTCCCCAGGCTCCCTCTACGCAGGCCACGGGAATAAATCATTAATGGCTTTTTGGAAAAGAAGCTGTATGCAGTCTTTCATGCCCTGTCGCCAACCTGAAGTCCTTGGCTCCCTTTCAGAACGATTTTATTGACCCGAAATTGCTCGGCTTAAATCGTGTACCCATCGAAAGTAAAACACAGCTGTAAATCTGGTCTATGTCTATTCCCCCCCTAGTCCCCTCACAGCCACCCATCAAATATCCATACACAATTCATTTAGGGCAATTTAGCTGATGCTAAACAGAATCAAGGTGAACTTTCAATGGGCCCTCAGCTATGAGAGAGGAGGAGCATAAAAATGGTGGCCTAGCTTTGGGGGGTTTTAATCAACTAGCTCCTCAAGGCTAGTCATCCAGCCATGGAGCAGCCGCACTTAGCAGATGAGTTTTTGTGTCGCTAGCCCGAGTGCGTGTTCTCTAATCCTTCAGCCTAAAGTGTTTTGGTATTGTAAAATATGGCCACACGGGTGGAGAGAGCTGCTGGGCTACACGAGATTAGAGTCACGATTAAAAGCCTACGGGATCCCCCTCGACTGCCAAGCGCTAGCTGGAGCGCTAGTCACGGCGCAGTCTGCAGCCGGAGATAAGATGGAACTTTTGTTTGAAACCTGATGAGAGGCTTCCTAATGAAAGTGCTGGCCCAAAAATAATCTTTTTTCTCTGTGTTAGTCAATCAAAAAACAGTGTGGTCGGGGATGGTAAAAAGAAAAAAAAAGTGGGGGGAAATGTGAAGTCATTTTGCATAATCAGTGAGCACCATCTGGAACAATTAACGGAATTCCACAGAACTCAGAGGATCAGTCATATTGGCTTATTAAAGATCCTGAATTATAGGAGCAATAAATCCGTGGAAAAATGAAGCGTACCCCGGCCTGTCATCACTATTTTAACTTCAAATACGCACGAATATTCGATAAGGCTGAAAAGAAGAGATTAATATATGCAAATTAAGTCAAGCATTTTAAAAAACCCCCAACAACTGTCTGCCATTTTTTTTCCTGTCTCTTATTACGAGCCTTTATGTTTTATTCATACACCAGCTCACCTGTCATTTCATAAGCTCTAATATTATGGGGGTATTATTAAAGTGCGTAAAGTGGTGCTTTAATTGGAAAGCTCTGTTGCATTCTCCAATTATTTGGAGCAAATTAACAGCAGATGCACATACTTTAATAAGGGGACTAATATCAGTTCCGGAAAATCAAAAATCATTGTCACTCGCTCTGATATTTTACAAACTTAAGGCAATACTGAAACATCTCTGAATTTTTAACTCTCTCTCTCTCTCTCTCTCTCTCTCTTTCTCTCTTTCTCTCTCTCCAGTCACCTCTTAATTGATCTTCCTTTAATCCACGAAGGAATAATTGATCGCTATTATATTATCTTTAATAAAGGCATTGTCGTCCTTTTCTCGATTAATGCAATAGATATGTTAATGTAAGTTACATAGGGGATATTGAATATCTGTGTTATTATGAGTATCTGTTCCCTGTTTTTTATAGACAAAGACGAAAATGAAAATGACAAGAAGTCAAGCTTCTAACCACATATAATACTTATAAAATACATTATCAATATGATGTCCTCTTCACAAAAAATATTTAGATAAATCACAGCTCATATGACACTCTTTTCTAATAGACTAAATGTTACATCATTAATACTCCCAAAAAAGAATGTATTCAAATCCATCACCTCACAGATGTTGCAAACAGACTCTTTTTCACACTGATTCCTTCGCTAATTAGGAAATATTTCCTTCAAGCCATCAAGCTAAATGAAAAATAAATGACACCAAAAATCTGCTCAGCTTCAAAGAGGCAGTGGTGAAACAAAGTAAGAGGTTGAGAAGTTTAGAAATACTCAACTTGTTAAAATGAGCGTGGATTGTCAAGTGAATGAAGGTTGCCAAATCTATTGTCTATTGTCTAATTCTATCTGAATTAGTTTGTAATACTCTGCAAATAAATGTCAAAGCACCAGTACCTCAAATCTGCACATAATGTGGCTGACGATGACAGATTTCCAGACATGTTGGGTCTCCTGCGCTGGGCTAGTCTTTAATGTGCTGGTCTTTTTTTTTTTTTTGCATGTGTGTGTTTTGTTGGGAAGTGACGGAAGGTTTAATCAAGAAAGCAGGCAATTCATCAATCCTGAAGGAGCTGGTGCTACGAGCCTGACAGAGCTCGTGGATGATGTGAGCGCACATGGTTTTAGCCCAGCTCGAACCTGGCCAACTATCAACATCTGCGCACATACATACATGCACATGTGCATGTGCACGGAGTCCCCAACGATTAAGGTAAATCCATCTGTCTGTTCGAAACCCCACACTTCCTCAACTCAATTCAGGAAGAAAATCAATAAAGTCTCTAATAATAATGTTATTAATAATAATAATCCTACATGTATTTTAAGTAAAAATAGATGCATAATTAAATTAAATAAATTCATTATTATTATTAATTAGTTCCCAGTGATCAAGGTAAATCCAGCTGTCTGTTCAAAACCCCACACTTGTTTTTCAAGTCATAATTCATGAAGAAATTCTAATAAAATTCTAAATAATAATAATAATCATTATTAAAGGGGTCCTATTATGCTTTTTCACTTTTAAAATTTTAGTCAGTGTGTAGTGTGTATGTTTGGGCATAAAAAAGATCTAGAAAGTTACAAATCTCAAACGCCGCCTGTGTGCCTACACTCATAGAAAATAAAGTATTTGAATTTTAAAGATGTGGCGCGACGCGACGCTGCACTTTCGTCCGATGCGCGACCGCGTGAAACGCTGTTTTTTTCACCTCCGTGCTCAAACGTCTTTGTTTGGGCTTCCGAAAGCGGATGATGTCAGGAAACAGTGGTTGCAATTTATTTTTTAACTCTGTCCCTGAGCATTATAACCCCAATTTGCTATTGTGTGCTTTATGTGAAAAATAATGCGTTTTTCGAACCACCAAGCATGAAAGCATGTTCTAGTACACCCCCAAAACAAAATCAAGACTTTGTAAAAGAGCATAATAGGACCCCTTTAATATTATTATACATATTTATAGAAATATGAATGAGGCATTTATATAGCGCTTTATTGTGTATTGCTGTACACCCAAAGCACTTTACAATCATGAGGGGGTCTCTCTATATTAATTAATTATATTATAATTATATCTTATAAGGTATGTGTGCATGCTAATTTATATAATAATTATTAAATATGTGTGTGTGTGTTTATTATTATTATTATTATTATATAATTATAAATATGATTATAAATAAATTATAGTATAATTACATCTTATTCAAGACAACATTATACATTGTGGCATAGCAGTTTGTGTACACATTTCCTCTCTACTATCTCCATCAATAAAAATATCAAAATATCCACTGTATAACTAGACCACATACTGCTAAGCTCGCCTGTGAACACAGTTCCAGATGGTTACAGAGAAGTTGCTAAAGGAGGATCAATAGAACACACTACTTGTGGTGACAGAGTGATGATTGGTGTCTGCCTGTCAGTCAAATGGCATTACCATGGCGACAGGGAAGCAGAATGCATCAGCCCTCGTGCTGTTAGAACCTCTCCTTTCTCTTTGGCCTCACTCGAGAACAAGTCAATCTGCTGTTACTTTAACCACTGCAAAGGCAAGTGGCAGAGTTTAATGTGTCAGTCACTTATTTTAACCACTGAAGCCTTGATATGATCAACGTGCCTATAATCAATCAATTACAGTATGCATACAATATATACATGACTTACTGAAGGCTCTATAAGGCTGTTAATACCAAAGAGGTATTAATGCAATTAATGAATATACAGAACAAACAAACAAACATGAGCGTTAAACTCAAGTTAAATTATTCTGTATTTTTTTTTATCTAGAAGGGACACAGTAAAAAAAAATAAGAAAGAAAAAAAAAACTGTAGCAACTTGCACATATTCTAACATTTTTCTACTCTACCTCTCCATGTCACAACACATTTGGAATATTCCTCATATTAAGCCACTAAAATGTAAATATGAAGAATAAAATCATGATTGCATGTGCAGATTCACAGGCCAAGACTAGTGATACAGTATATGGCCTGTACCTGTATCACCAAAAAAAAAAAAAAACATGATAAGGACATGCATATGTATATCAATGTATCTCAAAAAAGCACATAAAATATATTTATAACAGGTAAATTTTTCTAAATTCACTCGCTGTTAGCAGGTGTGACCAAATGTCAGTTTTGGACCTGGATGTACCTCAATACAGTATGATTTCTTCCTCTATGCTACAGATTACCTCATTCTCACCACATGGTGTCTCTCTCCAGCCAGAAAAAAAGCACACAAGCATACCTTCACATCACAATCTCAAGTTATATTTTGGACCTGAAAGACAGGTCTGCAGGGCGAGGTGGTCTATGGGATTTCCTGAAGCACACAAATCTCATTCTCCTAATGTTTGCATAGGAGTGCACACGTCATTGGTGTGACTGTGTCATTTTCTGCCATTTGAAGTGTTAACAATAATCTTAGGGATGTCTCTAGAGTCAATTTCACAGAAGGTTGTGTAGAGATGCTGTAAACGTTTGCTACACTAGATAAAATTAATGTTGAACTTTTGAGATAATAGTTACAGGAGGACTGACCTGATTTGGTGTAGAAGTTGTAGATTTGGTGTTTGTAGTCTGGCCTGACGATGTTCTTTTTAGTAGAACTGGAGGCCGGAGACTCTGGGAATTGTCTAGGAAAGAGAGGCAGAACTGACCTCATTAAAAATGTGCAAAGACATAGGAAATAATTAATGGAAATGTTCAAATGAATCACTGTATTCAATAAAAAGATTCTGGAAGGAGATTTCACGCAGCAATTTAATAGAAAACTTTCTGCTTTCTAGAATTTCAGCACCGTTTATTTGCACATGCAGGTCTGCAGAATTATAAAGGAATTATGCAAATCAGGAAACAACGGAAACACGCCCCATGTCTTCAAAGTGTCACATTGTGAACAATGCAGCAAACTGATGAGATTTGGCATACTTTACTGGGAGGGTACAACACTGTGCTCCACAAATGAATCAGCTCTTTAAAGAGTTCTTGACACTGTTTAAAGTGTTGGAATATAATATAAATGTAACAGGAATCATTGATGTTAGAGATTGTGGGTCTCCATCTTTAACCACTGTGAGTCACTGACTCCATCTGATCATTAACCTCCTATTTTTTTCCCTCCCTGCCTGTGGCTCTTATGTGCCTGTGAGAGGTTGTCATGGAGTCGGTGATAATAAGAAGGGTTTCCTAAGCTAGTATGGCATAACACACACACA